ACGGAGAACCCATTGAGAAACAGTGGCCTCCATTATGTGAGAACGCTTGGTTTGGCAATCTCCCAAGACTTTCTGATTCACCTCCCTACCCCATGGCAGACTGCAGCCTCAACAAAGATGGACAATCCCTGATCTACACTTTATCCAAAATGAGGCAGTAGACAGAAACTGCAGCATTCCAGACTGTACCACTTGAGGTGCCCAACTTTTGAATGCCATCCTAAATTTGTTTTTTGAAAATGCTCAGCATATAATAAGCTACGGCATCAGGGGGAAAGGTTGTGACCTAGCTTTCTCACTGACACACTAGCTTAATACAGACAGGAAACTGACAGAAACTGCAGCATTCCAGACTGTACCACATGAGGTGCCCAACTTTTGAATGCCATCCTAAATTTGTTTTTTAAAAATGCTCAGCATATAATAAGCTATGGCATCAGGGGGAAAGGCTGTGGCCTAGCTTTCTCACTGACACACTAACTTAATACAGACAGGAAACTTTTTTTACAAAGGGGAGCATTAAAATACACGAAACCCCCCCCCTGTAGTCTTAAATGGTACAGTCTGGACCCCTAGCATGGTCTTCCATGTCACTGAGTAGAGTACAATGCTTGTCTTTCATCAGCATCAGGAAGCCGCACTGTGGTGTTCTTTGAATTGACCAGGCTTTCGCTACATTGCAATAATATGGTACACATGTGCAAGCAGATGCTTTGGGGTTCCCTTCCTGGAAAAGCGAGATCAGGCCACAGTAATCTATGCTCTGGTCACACTTAATCTGAGTTATTACAATGGGAACATGCCCTGCCAGTACAACAGAACTTTACCAGCTGCCAGTTCATTTCCAGGCATGATTCAGAGAGCTGGTTCTTACCTTTAAAGCCTTAAATGGCCTGCAATCAGGACTGTTTTTGTCCCACACGGCCTTGCCAGATTGCCAAGGTCTTCGTCAGAGGCCCCGCTTTGAGCCTCCTCCTCCTCCTAAGCAGCTGCTCTGCCATGCAAAAAAAAATAATTCCATACCCATTGAAAACTAGCATTTGGGAAGAAGGGTTCCACTAGCGCGACTTTCCCCTCCTGACATGCTAGTTTTCTATGGGAAGGGGGTTTTTTTTAATGCATGGCGGAAGAATCTCAGCCATGTGGGCTCCCCCTATAGACTACATTCCAGTTCACAGGTCAAACGCTTCTGGAAGAACGAAGCTAGACAGCAATAGGGATACTGAGCTCACGGTGAATTCTCAAGCCGTAGTACAATGGCTGTTTATTCCCAGTTTTGCAGCTGAAGGGACAGATGTGAGTACCCACAAACAGCGCACTGGCGCAGCCTTAGTCCTCACCTCCTCCCCTGCTTCAGGAAAGCCATATATTATCCCAATTTTTAAAAGAGCGCATGAATGTTAAAGCATTTATTCACTGAGGGAAGCTTAGCCAATTATTATATGCTGTAGACCCAGTCACATTAGAGCTTGCTATAGGAGCTCCCCAGTCACCAGAATCTAAGCGCGGTTAGCGTACATCAAAATTTGTATAAGCATTTTGAAATATGGCTTGCAGCACTTCATTCTAACGAAGAAATAAGTACAGAATGACAAACCTGATGAAGGACACGCAAACGGAGAGTGTACTAGAACTCCGTCGTTTGTCTGTAACCAGTATTGTATTACTTTGTATGTACTGCTAAGCTTTATATCACATATTGTAGTGTTATTGGTAATAATTGAATTCTCAACATTGCATATAAAAACCAACAAATATTGTTTAATTGTACACGGTGATTTACTGTTTCACTGGCTATTACACACCGTGGTCCTGTTTGTTGTAATATATAAAACAAACGGCAAACAGATATGTTCTTTCATTGGACCTTCATCTTTTTTTTTTTAAGTACTCACTCTAGTACCTATCTACGATTAGCCACCCGTGGCCCCATCCGCGAAATCCACGGATCTGGACCACATGGAGGCTAAAGAGGTTTTTCTACAAATGGGGGCACTCCCTGGGTTTGCAGAAAAATCTGAAAATAAACTCCCCTCCCCAATAAAAATATATTCTTTGCGCAAGCACAAAGAACGCAGTTACTTCCAGCGGTGCAGCAGCCAGGGAGCCATGCTGGGCCTGGCCTCGGCCGCCCTGAGCCCGCGTGCGGGGAGGGCGGGGTATAAATGAAATAAAATAAATAAAGAAAGAAATAACGTGGCAGCCCGGGAGCTGCAGTGAACCCAGTGGTGATGCAGCAAACCAGGAGCTGTGCTGCGCCCAGCATTGGCAGCGCAGCAACCTGGTAACCTCACTGGGCCCAGTGGCTAAGGAGGAGGCTACCAGGCTCAAGAGCTGCACCAAACTTGGCACTGGGAGGGGGGAATATGGGATCCTCCCCCCAGCTCACCATAATGGAGAATGCTGGTAGCCCTCAGCAGTGGAGGAGGATGCTGGGTTCAGGAGCCAAGCCATGATCCTCCCACAAGTCTCTCCCCCCCCATTGAGCCCTAGGGGAAATCACCAGCGGTGGAGGGAGGGATTCCCCCCTGCGAGTATTGGGATCACCCCACAACCCAGTGGTGATGCAGCAAACCAGGAGCTGTGCTGCGCCCAGCATTGGCAGCGCAGCAACCTGGTAACCTCACTGGGCCCGGCGGCAAAGGAGGAGGCTGCCAGGTTCAAGAGCTGCACCAAACTTGGCACTGGGGGGGAATATGGGATTCCCCCCCAGCTCACCATAATGGAGGTAGCCCTCAGCAGTGAAGGAGGATGCTGGGCTAAGGAGCCAAGCCATGTTCCTCCCACAAGTCTCCCCCCCTCCATTGAGCCCTAGGGGAAATCACCAGCGATGGAGGGAGGGATTTCCCCCTGCGAGTATTGGGATCACCCCGCGAGTATCGTGGGTCCCCACTTGTTTATACCCGACTTCCCACAAGCACTTCATTTGGCATTTAGAAGCGTCACTCTGCTTTCAGTGACTGGAGCAAACTGTTCCATACACAGCGGCACAAACAATACAAGACTGGTTTTCACAACCAAGACTAAAGCTGTGTCTGGTGAGCTCTTTCTCCAAATGCACGGCTCTTGTTGATGTGATGGAGAAAGCAGTGAGCAGGCACTAGTAATGCAAATGGGCATTCTGGCCAGTAGTCTAAGCTCCACATTCACACTTCAGACTGAATGCCTGAGAGGCTTCCAGCCTTGTAAGGATCACCACCCTGACACAGTCTATCCTATTGCAGCAGGAGAACCACAAGAGGCAACGTTAGGCCCCACGACACAAGTCCAAAACTTACCTAAAAGCATTCTCCGTATGCTTAAGTTTGTGAGCAGGGAGTTCTGGGAAACGCTCCCCGTTCTGCGGCTTCGACTCGGGGATTCCCTTCTTGCGATCCCAGCTGGGCTTGACCTCATCTTTTGGCGCCTTGTCTTTGCTCACTTTGCTGTCTTTTATCTGCCAGGGAAACAGCAAAACGATCAAGTTATGGCCAGGCCTCTAAAGGAGCACGGAGGGGTGGACCCATCTCTTGCTTTTGGAAGGCAGATAAGGAGTGATTCATCTTCAGAATGGTTTACAGGCTGCAGAAGTGGCGGCAGCCCTCTCTGCTCTCGTATATCTTCCCACGCGTTGAGATTTGAAAATGCATTGAGATTGGGTGGGCCTTACCTATGCTCATCATGGGGTCCTTACACATTTCTTCTCATCCAAATCTCTTCTCAGATTCCCCCCCCCCAACTCTGAGCTACCTGATCTTGTTCTGACTTGGATCCAGTGGATTAGGAATGCTCCATTATCCTGGTTTTTTTTTTTAATAACAAGTTTTATACAAAATAAGGAGCTGTGGTGGCTCAAGGGGTTAAGACGCTGAACTGCAGGCTGTGGAAGGTCAGTAGTTCAGCAGTTCGAGACCCGAGTGTGCCACATGACGGAGTGAGCTCCCGTCTCTAGTTCCAGCTCCTGCCAACCTAGCAGTTCGAAAGCAAGACATTGCAAGTAGATAAATAGGTACCACTTCGGTGGGAAGGTCACAGCGTTCCGTGCGCCTTGGTGTTTAGTCATGCCGGCCACATGACTGCGGAAACATCTTCGGACAGCGCTGGCTCTTCGGCTTTGAAACGGAGATGAGCACCGCAACCCTAGAGTCGGCTTCGACTGGCTTTCGAGCAAGGGAACCTTTACCTTTTACCTTTATACAAAATGCACTGCATGTGCCAATTGCCACAGATTTTTGTTCCTTCCAGCTAGGAAGCTGGAGCAAGCCAAGCCTTATGACAGCCCTTCTTCTGGCCTACATGGGAGTCTGCAGCAGTCTTGCTGTGGCTGCAGCATACACTCACATCAAGATTGCTTTTGTGTAGTGTTTCACTAATGCACAGGAAGGAATGTGCAGGTCTGTAAAACACCTCACAAAAAGAATCCTGATGCAATTGCATGTACTCGAAACAGGTCCGGAAACATCTCAGGCAGTAGGGCTTGGAAAGACCTTGGAGGCCTGCTGCCGGCCGGAGAAGCCAAAGCCGAGTGACAAGGGCCAACGGCCCGGCTCCATATAAAACAGCTTCATTTGTACAGTCCCATCAAGATTGTTTTAATGCAGTGTTTTATCAATTAGCCTACACACTGCTAAGAGAGAAGAGGAAAACAGTATGAATGAACCGAAGGACTCAAAAGGTCCAGAAAACTGTTAGAAATGTTCGTAGTTATGCCCAAACTAAGGAGTGCAGTGCGGCATACAGTAAAACTCTGCCACAACCAGTGTTGCCTCTAAGCTGAGTTAGTGTGAGCTAGCTCACAGTTTTTTTAGCCTCCAGCTCACATTTTTGTCTTCGCTCAGGAAGGATGGCTCTAGAGCGAACTAATTGATACAGTCGCCAAATCGCTCACTCACGGCTTTAATGCCAATAGCCCTCCAAGTAGAATATTTGCTCACAAGACTCCACAACGTGGAGGGAACATTGGTCACAACCAGGTCTAAAATGGGGGAAATCTCCAAGTTCACTAAACGCATACATTGATCCTCAACCCAGACACTGGGACCCTTGGATAAATCATGGTGCTCCACCTGCTGAGAGGCCCTATGGGGCCACCGCTTTCTTCTGGCCTTCTGGAAGGGCCTGCCGCACGTGTTCACAACAAAGACACCACACCTCCTGTCTCTCTTTCCACACAGGCTGCGACAAGCAAGGTCACTCAGCGGTGGAGAGGGATCATCTACGGCTCTGACCCTTGGTTCATTCCTCAATAAAGCACACCTCCCGGATGCTCAGCTTGGGTTTCCTGGCCCTGGCTTTCTTAGGGGCGCTGTCCATGGTCCTAGTCTTGAAACTGGTTAGCAACGTAAGTCTGGCTTCCTCTCTTCCTGTCACATGATTCTGAGACTGCATGCCACCAGCTTAGTGGGTACAGGGGTCTGAAAAGGCTGAAGGCCACTGCACTAGGCTAAAATAATAAGACTTGTCCTCTTATCGGCTGCTGGGGGGGGGCAAGAGTGCCACAAGTCAAGTCACGCATGCAGCGTGATTAGGGTTGCCCGCTCAGGGTCAGGAAATATCTGGAGATTTCGGGGGTGGAGCCTGGGAGGGGCAGGGTCTGGTGAGGGGAGGGACCTCAGCAGGGTGTGATGGCAGAGAGTCCACCCTCCATTTTCTCCAGGGAAACTCATATTGAGAGCCAGTTTGGTGTAGTGGTTAAGTGTGCGGACTCTTAATCTGGGAGAACTGGGTTTGATTCCCCACTCCTCCACCTGCACCTGCTGGTGTCACCTTGGGTCAGTCACAAGTTCTGGCACAGCTGTCCTTGAAAAAGAGCAGTTTGTGTCAGAGTTCTCTCAGCCCCACCCACCTCACAGGGTGTCTGTGGTGGGGAGGGGAAGAGGGAAAGGAGTTTGTAAGCCGCTCTGAGACTCCAAGTGAAGGGCGGGGTATAAATCTAATCTCCTCTTCTTCTTCTTGGTCATCTGGAGATCAGCTGTAAGAGGAGGAGATCTCCAGGTGCCAACTGGAGGTTGGTGACCATAAGTATGGTACATATGGAGCTACCCCACCCTTTGAGCCTGGTGGGTGTGTCGGGTGGGGTCACCACTAGCCAACTGAACTGGAGAAGCAGACGAGAATCTAGTCCTGACTCAACTCCCTAAGCAGGTACGGGAGTCCTCCATCTCCTGTCAAGATGTCTCACCTGTGCCGCAGATGGGTCACCTGCATTATAAGAAATGATGGCCCAGGGACATACTGTGGGCAATAGTTCTCCTTGCCACCGTGATACCTGGGTATAGGTGTTTGTTTGCTTTTGTGAGTATTGTGTGTGTGTGTGTGTGTGTGCTTGCAAGCCTGGAAGTCATGGTGACGTCTGGTGACCCCTAGTGGGGCTAGGATGTTTCAGAGAGGTGGCTTGATAACCTGCCTCTACATCCCAGCCCTAGTATTCCTTGGAGATCTCCCTTCCAAGTACTTGCCAGGGTCCGCCCTGCTTAGCTGCTGAGATCTGACGAGATCGGGCTCGCCGGGGCTACCCAGGTCAGGGCCTACCTGGGTATGCTTTGAGCAACCGTGTTACTTGGAAATACTGCTCAGGCTGGGCTCTACTCTCAAAGCAGAATATGCAGAGAGTTTCATTCCCTGTGAAGGCCGACCTTGTGATATTTTACTCAGATGCAGCCTCCTGATGCACTGGTTTTTCTTTCCTATTGCCGCGCGCGGCGAGGGGGGGGGGGAAGAAAAAAAAATATCTGGGATAGGCATGAACTACAGCAGTGGTTTGCTGCCTGAAACCAAGTGGCAGCTGTGTTGCTTCTAGATGCCAAATGGGGCTGTGTAGAAAGGGTGCGGAGCTGAGGCAGAGAGATTTTGGTGTGAATTCTGTCATGACCCCCTCAAGTGTAAATTCTCTGCATCAAGGGGGAAAGGGAGGAGCTGCCTAGAAAGGTTAGGTGTGAATCCCATCATAAATCAACAGAACTGGGAGTTGCACATCATGGATGACGAGAGAGGATGAAGAAGAAGAAATAGGGTAAATAACAAACACTCAGGGGGAAGGAGTCTAAGGTTCAAGGCCGATGTGGTGCGGAGATTCCTCAAGTTTCAGATTCAAGGTTGTAGTCTGATAAACCATGTTAAGAACAGCCAATTAAAATGTCTAAAAAGTAGGGCTCTATAGAGCTAGTTGAGATTGTAGTAAGAAAATCCAAGTCTCTATTTTGAGATGCTTACATGTAGCATTGATTTGTTTGATTAGTTCTTTCACATTTTGTATTCCCATTGAAGTGGGGGGGTTTAATTTGTGTTTTGTTTTGTTTTTTTGTTTTGGGGAATAGCATTTTCAGGTCTGTAATAATATGGCTAAAGAGATTAAAATGTTCCCCAACCGGTTTCTGAATGCTACGATTTCTTATATCCAGTTTGTGTTCATTCAGTCTCTCCCACAGAGACTGACATGTTTGTCCAGTAATAATTATAATTATCGTATAATACTGTGTGCAGTATTGTCTGGCAGATGCAAGTTCATTTTGCACCCCTAGGTGGCTAGCTAGACTAGTTTTTAGGGGCTGAGAGAGCTCTGAAAGAACTTGTGACTGGCCCAAGGTCACCCAGCTGGCTTTCTGTGGAGAAGTGGGGAATCGAACCCGGTTCTCCAGATTAGAGTCATAAAATCACAGAATCATAGAGCTGGAAGGTACCTCCAGGGTCATCTAGTCCAACCCCCTGCACAAGGCAGGAAATTCACAAATACCTCCCCCTCCAGACCTGGAAGATGACAAGAAACTTCCAGGATCCCTGGCCAAAGTGGCCTGGAGAAAAATTGCTTCCTGACCCTGAAGTGGCGATCAGCATTTCCCTGGGCTTGTAAGAAAGGGCCACAAGAACTAAGCACTGCGGCAACCCTTCCGCTGCTCTTAACCACTACACCAAACTGGCTCTCTGTTTGTCCAGCATAGATAGTGGAAGGACACTGTCTGCACATGATGGCATATATTAAATTGGATGGTGTCCACGTAAATGAGTCCAGGACAGTGCAAGGAACATTATTAGGTGCCGTGGCAGTATTCCCTGAGTGTATATGGGGGCCATGTTCATTTCTGACGGGATTCATGGCTCACCTTTCTATCTCAATTCCTCCCCTTAAAAAAAAGAATTTCCAGTACAATCTCCCCCATCACGTATCTGATGTTGCGACCCACAAAAGCTCATATTGAAATACATGCTGCTGGTCTATAATATGCAGCTGGACTTTTATTCTCCCTCCTGTGTGTGCTTCCTTGGAATTTCCCACCCTGTTGTGCATTTGCCACCCTACGGGCACTCCACTGAACTCACTAGGGCAAAGACACAGAGGGGCAAGCTGAAGATCTTAACCTTCCCTAAAGATGCCCCCCAGCCACAATTTAAAAAACGAGTCATGTGCTTCACTTTGAAGCGGTACAAATCATCATTAGTATGAATCTATGTTGTTATTTT